CTGGGCTTAAGTGACCCACCTGCCTTGGCCTCTCAAAGTACTGGGCTTATGGGCATGAGCCACAGCACCTGGTCTTCGTTTACATTTTAGAAAGACAGCTGTGTAGCCAGGTGTGGTGGCGGGCACCTGCAATCCCAGCTACTCGGGAGGCTGAGGCAGAAGAATCGCTAGAACCCAGGAAGCAGAGGTTTCAGTGAGCCAAGATCACTCCAGCCTGGGTGATACAGCGAGACTCTGACTCAAACAAAAAAAGATGACTATGGCTGACAGGTGCGGGGGTTGGAGGGGGAAAGGTTAGCTGAAAGGAAGTTAGATAGAAAGTCCTCAGGGTTGAGAGGCAGAGAGATTCCAGATCGATATTTGAGAAAGACTTGATGAGGTTAGTGGTCTGTTGGCCAGGTGGGGTGTGAGAGAAGGGAGAAAGGAAGGAGGGTTCACAGCATCAGCCCTGAGCTCTGTGGATTGGGTGGTGGTGTATTCCCTGAGATGGAGAGACTGGAGAAGAAGCTTTGGAGAGGATCAGGTGTTTGGTTCAAGACAGTTATGAGTGGAGCTGAGGAAATGAGAATGAAAAATTGACAAGGCCCAAACTGTGAAAGTTTGAATATCAGCCTGCAGAATTAAACATTTATCCTGGTGATGCTGGGAAGCAACGTCTTGAACATGCTGGTTTAGGAAAATCAGTTTGGTGACAGCATATAATAATTGAAGAGGAGCGGCTACAAGTGGGGAGACCAGCAAGGAGATTTTTGGTCCAAGGAGGAGCTGATGGTGGTTCACACAGCGTGGTGTCCCTGGGTTATAGCTAGGCCCGGCAAGGTCAATGCTGACTTCCAACCAGAGAGTTGGAGAACCATAGGGCTCTTGACAGAATCAGGACCTCTGGTGCCGTGACTGGGTAAGAGATGAATTAAATGGAACTCAGCAGAAGAGTCAGACCTGGAACTGCAGAAATAGGAATCTATTTCTACACCTGCTGGTGAGGTTCAGCACCACAAAGGGTCACGTCCCTTATGGGGGAATGTTGAGGGACGAAAGAACAGGCCTAGGATGGAGGAGCCCAAGAAGGACCATTCAGGAGGGAGGAGGGGATTCATTAGGGCATGGCCATTGGTGTTTGCTGCTACAGAGGCCAAAGAATCAGAATTGATGATAACAGCAGAGAAGTTCCTGGTCCATTAGGAGGTGCAGTGGAATGGGGAGTGACAGCAGAAGTGGAAGTGCAGGCGATTTAGGAAGTGAAGTGAGGAGATGAAGGCCCTGAATATTTAAAAATCCTTTTAGAAGCTGAGCAGTGAAAGCTGGAGAAGCAGGATGGCAGGCAGAGGGCAAGGGCCTCCTCTTCCTCGGGGAGGGGCTCATGAGATCTGTGGGTGGTGATGTAGAAGATGGGTGGCGGGGTGGTGTGTTGGAGAGGTGCTTCCTGACTGAGGAGGAAGGACAGAGATGGGGAGAGAGGAGAGAGAGGAAGCCATAGAGTTAAGATGCCTCTTCTGAAGCAGGAGGGGAGAAACAAAGGGTGATGGCCCCGAGAAGTGCTGCACTGCAGAGGTGAAACTGGACGGGAGCCTGAGCTCAGCACAGCGGACATCTTAGGGAGAGGGGAGAGCCACAGCGTGTTCCAGTGGCATCTGGGGGACCCAAACCAACAATGTGTGACCAGGTGAGGGCAGCAGGGCTGTCTTCCTGTGGGCAGTGTCTACTGAAGGGAGCAGGGAGAGCCCGCTCATGTTCGGTGTGGTTCTGAGCAGGCCAGAAGCACTGGTTCTTGTTCTGCGCTCAGTGGGTTAGCAGGTCCAGCCCAGAGCAGGGTCACTAGGAGGACGAGGAGAATGGGATTCAAACCATATTGTGTCAGGTATGGAACTGAAGAAGTTTAGTTAGAAGAAGGGTAGATTGAGGGCCTGTGGTGGGGAAGAGGATGTGTATGCACGGGAGCCTGGACGGACAGTTCGCCAGGAGCCAGTTTAGACTGAGGTTGAGCAGTAACTGAAGAAAGAGAGCAGTCCCACCTGGTGAGTGTGGGGCTGCCCCCCTCAGGGAGGCCCCTTTACATTCAGGAGCTATGGTTTTGTTTTATTTTACTATTCTATTGATTTTTTTTTTTTTTTCTAAAAGTTTCTCTTGAAGTAAGGTTGAACCTAGGCTCCTGTCCTCACTACTACAGCCAGAGGGGCTTTGGGAAGGTGGCAGCTATGAATGGGTGGGTATTTCAAGGGGCGAGGCAGGGCCTTTGGAAGACCTGGGCCCTTTCCACTGTCCATACCACACTGGAGAAGCCCTGGCTGTCAGTGTTCTTCTGTGGCCCTGCTGCTCCACTGTCCAGAGACTCAGTAGGAGAGGTGGCTGTGCAGTCACGACCCAGAACTGTAACCCTGACACCGACGTGGTGAGGAAGCTTCCTGCCTGAGCCCCAGAGCACGTGGTACAGGCACAGCTGCACATGGGCAAGGTCCTCAGGCATATGTGGTCCTGAGTGACAGACACATCAGAGTCTGGATACGCTCAGCCTGAAGAGCTCAGGGCACTCCCAGCCTTAAGTCAGGTATGGCCAGGAAGGGCCGAATGGCTGGGAATCCTCTCAAGACACTTTGAGTATGTGAGGGAGATCTGGATCCTTCTCCTGGGAGAAGGGAAAATTGGATGATGAGATTGCGGTACTGCCTGGGTCAAACACACCTCACCTGACTAGTTACCTCTTTTAGAAAGGAGGGAGGTTAGCTCCTGGGTATGGACATTACCAGGACCCAGAACACTGTTGAGGGGGTACCCCCTATTGGCAGCTCCCACTTCTAGTCCTGCTGTCTCAGCCTGCTGTTTACTTTCTCTGGAGTTTTTGCACCAGCCAGAGGGCAGCCATCTTGCTGTTGGACAGGATCTGCCCTAAAGCTCTTCTTATTAGACCACATTTCATGTCTGTGGCCTCTCTGCATCTATAGGGATAAGTAGTGATGACTACCATTGCTTGCAGAATTGGAGGCGTCTTCTCTGACCCCAGGTGCTTCCTGCAGTTCTTGTTTTATGTGTTCTGGTAAGTTGGCCACTTGGGACTGCCTCTGAGAGTCCCCACTTCAGTCAGACTCTCCCAGCAGGAGAGACCTCTCCAAGCATGCACCTGCTCTGCCACCCTAGCACCCGGTGAAGCCAGAGCAAGCAAGAGCCCACGGAGAAAAGGTCTATATGGACTGAAATTGCACACTCATGCTGTGTCACAGCTTGGTGGCCCTGCTGAGCTAGGTTGCAGCTAACAGCTCATTCTCCAGAGCCTGAGGTCTTTGTGCTTTCCTGCCTACCATCTCACTCCACCCATAGAGGGAGATGATAAAATATTCCAAATTTGAAAGGTAAAGAAAAGAGAATGTCATTGGGTGGCCCAAACCAAAGCTCATGGATACTGGAGACCAAGAACCAGCAGGAGACCCCAGGTGTGCTCTCATCTGCACTCTGTGACGCCCCTTATTGGACTGTTGCAGCCAGTCGTGCCCAGGAGAACGGCCAGGGAAGCTTCCTTTCCATCTGCACCTCCCAGCCTGGAGAGGAGCCTGTGACTTGCCCTATTCCTCGGCTCCTCAGGCTGGGGTAAGGTGTGGGGGTGGCTCCAGCCTGGAGGCTGGTCTCCTGACACTGGGTTCCTTGTTTTCCCTGCAGGCATCAAACAGAAAGGCTTGGTGCTAAGTAGCAGCCTGATGCACTCCGAGTCAGAGCTGGACAGTGACGACGCCATCTTTACATGGCCAGACCGAGAGAAGGGCAAACTCCTACACGGCCAGAATGGCTCTGTACCCAACGGGCAGACCCCACTGAAGGCTCGGAGCCCACGGGAGGAGATCCTGTAGCCACCTGGTCTGTCTCCTCAGGGCAGGGCCCCGCACACTGCCAGGCCGGTCCTCCTACCTCCTGAGTCTGCGGGCAGCTGCTGTCCCAGCATCCGCTGATCATTTGGCCCTGACAGCCCCAACCAGAACTGCTGGGACTTGAATCCAGAGACGTCCTCCAGGAACCCCTGAACGAAGCTGTGAATGAAGAGGTTTCCTCTTTAAACCTGTCTGGTGGGCCCTCAGATATCCTCACCTCAGGGCCTCATTTTTTTGCAAACTCCTTCCCTCCCCCAAGGGCAGACCCAGCCAGCTCCTAGCCTCTGCAGCTCCCCAGTGGGCAGGGTCACTGTGCCTAGAGTGCTGCAGGGCGAGGCCTGCCCTGCTGCCCACACGCCTAGGTGCAAAACCAAGCACTACCAGCCTCCTGGCTCCGGAGAGCCTGACTGTGGGCATGTTGTTTGTTCCCTTCTCTAGGGCAGAGTACGCCCTCTCCTAGGCTAGGAGGAAGTGGCACCCCTCCCCTCACCATAGATGCTGGGATGGTAGGTAGCATAGAAATGATATCTGGCCCCCCTTAGCACTGGAGCCCCACTCCCTTCTCCCACCTGACCTGAGATTAGGGGAGGATTGACTATTTCAGAGGTGGCGAGTGGCCTCTCTTGCTGCCAGGGCTCTTGTCAGAGCAGCCAGGCTGGACAGACCGCCTCCCTCCTCTCCATGTGACCAGTACCCGCTGCTTCAGGGCTCAGGCCCCCACTCCCTATCCCCAGAGGAGATAGCCCCACAGACTGGAATGCTGTGGCATGAGAGCGCATGTGTGCGATGGCCCCAACATGGTCCCCTCTCTGTCCCTCCCTCCGTGTGTTTCTCTCTGTGTCCCTTGCATGTGTGTGTGTTAGAATGAGCGCGTGTGCATCAACTCATTGGACTCTTGGCTGCTTACAAGGCAACTTTGACTTGGAAAGACTTTCAGCTCTTTGGAACCAAGACTTCCTGGGTCCCTCTGGCCTTGGCCCTGTTCACCATGGTTATCTGGGTATTGGGGAATGGGAGCTTTGGGGGAGTGACTTTTTAAAGAGACACAATTTCTACTGCACTACTGTCCATTGTGGGATGATTAAACATGCTATTTAATTGTGCAACTCTGTCTGCTGGCTGTGCTGCTTCACATGACGTCTCGGACCTGTGCACAGTTCCCACCACCCAGGCAGCCTGGTGAGGGCATGGCCTCTGGTGAGGAAGTCTTGGGCCTGGCATCAACACATGCAACAGTGGTGCTGGGCCCTGCCTGCCACGGGTGGGTGGGAGGCACCACCCCAGTGCCCCTGCTGGCTTTGAGGGAAGAGGGTTTATGTCCTTTCTTCCCATATCTTTTACAAACACAAAAATGATTCATGTCCACCTGTGACCAAGCTGGGGGACACAGAGTGTCTTAAAGTCCAGGTGTGGCTTTAGACATTTGGCATGAAGTCACTTAATCTACACATACAGTGACAGGGGAACTCAGGCCCGGCGGAGCCTTGCTCACTGTGCAGCAGTGTCTCAAACCTCAGCACAAGAGGCTTCTTCACACAGGTTGCTGCACTTCTAATTCAGTAGGTCTGGGGAAGAGGAGGGCCTAAGAATTTGCCTTTTTTTTTTTTTTTTTTTTTTGAGACAGAGTTTTGCTCTTGTTGCCCAGACTGGAGTGAAATGGCACAATCTTAGCTCACCGCAACCTCTGCCTCCTGGGTTCAAGCGATTCTTCTGCCTCAGCCTCCCCAGTAGCTTGGATTACGGGCATGCGCCACCACCACGCCTGGCTAATTTTTTTGTATTTTTAGTAGAGATAGGGTTTCTCCATGTTGGTCAGGCTGATCTCGAACTCCCAACCTCAGGTGATCCGCCCACCTCGGCCTCCCAAAGTGCTGGGATTACAGGCGTGAGCCACCACGCCTGGCCAAGAATTTGCCTTTCTAACAGGTTCCCAGGAGATGCTGATGCGCTGGTCCTGAGCCTCCCTTTGAGAACCTCTAGCTGAGAAGCGCATAGTCAATGCCGCATGAATAGAAGCCAGCACGTGTCCCATCCTGAGTGGGGTGAAAGAAGTAAATTTAGAAAAGGGAGGGCTTGAATCCACCAAGGAGTGTACTCCAAGCTAAGGGCACAGATTTGCTGAGTTGGCGGGTGGAGGTGGGGCACAGTGTTGCAGCCTAAACACAGCCACAGCAGGCAGGCTCTATGGAGCGGAGGGCACTCAGACTCGAAAAGCAGTTGGCCTGCACACAGCAGAAGCCATTGGCAGCTCGGGCAACAGAACAGTGGAGCTGGGTACAGGCCAGACTGCAGAGTAGCTGGGTGGGAGGTGATAAGGCCTTGGTGAGGTGGTGCATCAGGAATAGCTTCGAAGGATTCAGGAAGGAACCACAGGACCCGACCAGTTACTGGCTTTGTAGTACAAAAGGGAGGCTTCCCTTTTTCTCTAGGCTTCTTTTCCTCATCTTGTTTATCTCAGCTACAACCCACTGAAGGATATATATATATATATATATTACACGTAAAATATGTATGTGTGTGTGTGTGTGTGTGTGTGTGTGTGTGTATTTTCAAGCGATTCCCCTGCCTCAGCCTCCCGGAGTAGCTGGGATTACAGGCGTCTGCCACCACGCCTGGCTAATTTTTTGTATTTTGGTAGAGGCAGTGTTTCATCATGTTGGCCAGGCTGATCTCAAACTCCTGACCTCAGGTGGTCCGCTCACCTTGCCTCCAAAATGATGGGATTACAGGCGTGAGCCACCATGTCCCACCTGAAGGATATATTTTTAATGTCAGTTTCAGAGTTGACAAAAATAACTTTTCATCCTCTACTCTTCCCACCAAAAAAAAATGACCAAAAAACCCAGGAATTGACATTGTTTTGTGAAGCAGGTCTAGGCTATCACATCAGTTCCTGTCAACTCCTCATCCCAAAGCAACCTGTCTGAAGTAACACTCGATTCCAGGAGCTTGGGAATCCCTGCCTTGATCAAATTCAGGTTGGCAAACATTCCTCCACCCTTGTCAAAGGCCTCCCAGTCTCATTTTCTAGAATGGTTGAAAAGAAGGCCAAGGAGAGCTCACATTTCTTGAACCCCACCACGTACTGTGTGCATACAGGAAACAGCCACCAGGAGGCAGCACTTCAAGCAAATGCCCCAGGGCTGGAAGGCTGCAGCTTTGGCCTTCTGCTTAGGGACATCAGGGTAAGACTGATCCCGCTTCTTCCAGCTTCCCTTTGACCCATCTGACAAGAAGAAAGCGCTGAAGAGGTCCTCACACGTGCTGAGCCAAGGTCTCTGAAAATAGGCAGAGAGAAGATGCGTGTGGTAAGGAGCCATCAGCCCTTGGAAAAGGGTTTGAGGAGCAAGCATCAGGCCCTCGTCTCCTTTTGGAGATTTGTGTTGACTGGTTTAAGGGCCCCTGTATGTTCTCTGGACAAACCCAGGCCGCTGTTGTAGCTGCTTCCACTTCCCTTGCGCCCCAGTGTGTGGCTGGTGCTGGGGGTGGCTGCCTAATACCCAAGATCTTAGGATGGGCAGTGGCTGCCCACTCCTAAGCCTCCCCACAAAGGGCCTGGACGGGGTGTGCACCTCATTGTCCAGGTGCTGCCAAAACAAGTAAAACTCCCCTCTTGGAGCATGCTCTGATTTTTTCAGGCTGGATATTAGAGGGTGTTGATTAGCCTCCTTTGGTCACAAGGAACAAAATTAAAGTTACCTCTCGTGGGAAGGTCAGGTGTTGCCCAGCCTTTTCCGCAGTTCTTCATGCAGATACAGAATTACCTGCTTGGCAGGTGACTGCAGTCCCTACTCTCGCCTTCCCCTCTGCTTTATTCTCCCCTCACTTCTAATCAATCAACATTGTTGTGCTGCTTTATTGGTTCTTACTCTAGCTGCATATTAGAATCAACTGGGGAACTTGAGCAGAACTACTGTGGCCTGGAACCTAAACCACATGCTATTTTCATTTTCAGATACTTAACTGGTCTTTTATGTATTCCGCAGATAATCGTGCAGTCATAGTGCCCTCGAGAAGTGGAAAGAGCCCTTAGTAACTTAGCTCCAAAAGACTTGCAAACTGGGCCAGGCACAGTGGCTCATGCCTGTAATCCCAGCACTTTGGGAGGCTGAGGCAGGCGGATCACTTGAGGTCAGGAGTTTGAAACCAGCCTGGCCAACATGGTGAAACCCCTTCTCTACTAAAAGTGCAAAATTAGATGGGCATGATGGCAGGTACCTGTAATCTCAGCTGCCTGGGAGGCTGAGGCAGGAGAATCACTTGAACCCCAGAGGCAGAAGTTGTAGTGAGCTGAAGTCACACCATTCCACTCCAGTCTGGGTGACAGAGTGAGACTGTCTTAAAAAAAAAAACAAAAAAAAAAAACTTATAAACTGATGAGTTTGGGAAGACAGGGAGGGAAAGCACCCAGGCACCCAGTATCTGTTAATCACCAGTGAGAGGCTTTTAAAGTTCAGTGTGGCAGAGATGAGCTGGCCACCAAACTAGGTTCTGTGTGCAGGACACACAGCTCGTCCACGTTTCCAGCCTTCTGCATCATATGGGTAGAGGAGACGTGTTCCATCTTTAGGCCTGACTATTGCAGACCTTGGTCCCTCCCTCTATCTGCCGGTGAGCTGCAGAGGTTCACTTGGGAGACTCTGAGGTCCTGGTGGAGACAGGATGGAGGAAGTCTGGTGCCGAACCACCATGGAGAAGCGCTGTCCCACCAGAATGGCAGGGAATTGTTATGAGAGTAATAACTCTTACTGTGTTAGCCATGCATCCCCCATCCCCCATTAGGTGCTGTTAAGATTGTATGGCCCAGGCTCACTTCTCTTCGGCCTCTCTGGGCCTGAGTCAGCTAGAGGACTCAGAGGCACGCCGCAGCCTTGGCCATTCAGTTCTAGGCCACATGCTTTCTGTCCTTTTTCTGAAGAGCAGGAAATACTATCTCAGACACTCCCTTAGCACAAGGCAACATGCTCAGGGATCTGGAGCAGGCGTGGGGTAGCTGGAGTGTGTGGTTTGGGAAGCTGAAGGCTTGGAGAGAAATAACCAACAATCAGAGACTTCAGTCCCTAGACCTTACATGTGGAGGAACTCCCCCGACTGCTGACAGTAGTATCTCAACGGCTTCTATAGCTTGTTGCCCAGAAAATGGAACACACCTTCAAATGCCCATTTCTATGATCTTGTGTTAAAGAGAGCCAGGACAAATCTAGCGCAAAAGGTTTAATTCATACTTTGTGCTGTAAGTGGCTGCAGCATTTAGTGTTCTTCAACTGGAGTCCTGGCTATCTGGAGGAGGTCAGAATCTTTGTCATCTGCAGGGAATCACCCACACCCAGAATCTTTGAGAGGACTCAGTGCTCTTAAGAAAAACGATGTCGGCCGGGCGCGGTGGCTCATGCCTGTAATCCCAGCACTTTGGGAGGCCGAGGCGGGTGGATCACGAGGTCAAGAGATCGAGACCATCCTAGTCAACATGGTGAAAC